AACAACAAAAACTGGAAATGTTGCTGGTCTTATTTAAAATGCAAACTCATTGTCTGCCAGCAGGAGGTGCTTTTAGAGTGATAAAACTAGCGGTTTCCCCAGTAACGGCTGTAATCAAAGGAGCTCCGCTCATGAGTGCTACTTTATTAGATCAAATGAAAATGCCATCGAAACTTTTCTGAAGACAGTCGGTTCCCTTCAGAGATACATTCATATAAAACACCCGCGCTGTGTTATGATTTTGAAACGTGCAGAGCTCATGTTTATTCAACGAAGTCAAACGGCACAAATAAATCAATGTATGGGAAACTGGTAATGTATATCGAAATATCGGAAATGTGTTTAAAAATCATATCACCGTTATTGAAAAAAATTATATCACGATACATATTGATATTGAATTATTGTCCAGCCCTAATTTGTAGCAATAGTCAACAATGCATTGTATGGGTCAAAATTATCCATTTTTCTTTTATGCCAAAAATCATTAGGATATTAAGTAAAAATCATGTTCCGTCAAGATATTTTGTAAATTTCCTACCATAAATATCAATTTAAAAAAAATTGACCCTTATTTTTTTTGCTCCAGGGTTACATATTTACATTATGTATATATTTAAAAAAAAAATGGCCCATACATAATTTACATAATTCAATAAATAATGTACATAATTTTCTTTCAAAAATTTCTAGCAAATCCCCCCCACCAAAGAAACACACTAAACAAGGAATTTGCGTAGAAAGACTACAATTAAAAATAATTTAAAAACAAATACAGAGTAAAAAAGTAAATAAAAAAATTAAAAAGTGTGTAAAGGTCACTAAGAAGTGAGATGCCTTAAAGTGAGACATTAAGACAGCTCACTAGGGTTTGAGCAGATCTACGCCGTCTCAAACACACGCAATCATTCTAGTCTCACAAGACAGATGTTTATTTCAACAAACTAACTAGACAGTAGACTTGTGGCGGTATTCGGTAATGCGATATATCACGGTAATGAATATGCATGATATTGTTATCGTGGGCTCTTCTAAATACCGTGAATAATTATATATTACAAGTTATTCAGAATTTTGAATGCATTTTAAGAATACTTTTCCCATCAACTGGTCAAAATGCACAACACCGCTGTATGCTGCGTGAAAGACGCGTGCGCACTCTGATGTAAACAAGCGTGGACGAGAAGCACATGGCGGAACATGTGAGAGACGCTCTGGATGAAAGCGCACTTTCACTCTCTGACAGCAGACGGCGCTAGACTGCAGAAATAATAATAATAATAATGATAATAATAATTCATTTAAATGAAACCCTGTAAACAAAGCCGCTGCTCTACTTTCTGTTTCTGAATCGTGTTTAAATTATTTAAACAGCCATTCAGATTTGTGTATTTGCTATGATGTTCATCACAGCGCCAAATACTTAAATATTTAGACTTAATAGGCTATTTATTTTCAAACTTTTTTTACATTTTAATCTGGACTACAACGTGCCCTAGATATTGTTTGAAAGTGTTTTGATTTGTTTATTGTTCGGTCACACTTTACATTAGGGCTTCATTAGTTAACATTAGTTAATTCATTACTTAACATAAACTGCCAATTAAAAATTCTTCTGAACATTAATTAATCTTAGGTATTCCAATATTTAATAACACGTTGTTAAAATCG